CCTCAAGCGGGGACTGGAACAAATTCCCGGAGGATTCCATTCGTGCGCGGGCGGGCGTGATCGCGGGCTTCCATTACGGGCGCGGAATCGGGTGCTGGTCGATCGAGGAGCTCCTTCGATTCGGGGATCGGCTTCTCCGCGGGGATTCGTTTCCCATCTGCTGCTACAAAGGGTGTGCGGGGCGGGCCTCTGGGGTCGTTGCGACTGGAGGAGGCGGGGAGCCATGGGGGCGGGGGTCTCGAGCTTTTTCTTCAGCGCGGCGGCGGAGGCTGCGCCGGGTGCTGCGGGCCTGGGCGACCTGCCGGAGCTCTGCGCCGCGCAGGTGCTGCTGCGGCTCGACGCGCCGGAGATCTGCCGCCTCGCGCGCCTCAACCACGCCTTCCGCGGCGCCGCGGGGGCCGACTTCGTGTGGGAGGCCAAGCTGCCGGAGAACTACCGCCACCTCATCGGGTACGTCGAGGGCGGGGGCGAGGAGGGCAGGCGCCGGCGCCGCCGGGCCGGGACCAAGGAGATCTACGCCAGGCTCTCCAGGCCCGTCTCTTTCGACGACGGCACCAAGGTCAGATATTCTTCCACAGGAACAGGGCCGGCCCTAGCATCTTAGAGGCCCTTGTGCGAGTTTCATATAATGGGCCCTTATAATATACTTAATTTTTTTTTCAGTGAAGGACTTAGCACCTTTTCCAAATTCAACTAATTGATTTACAACTTAGATCCTTTATTTTTCTCACAATCGATGATAATTGCTTTTTTGGATCTTTATGACAAACAAAAAAGGAGAGAGCACCTGAATTCCAAAATCTTGGTTTTGGAGTAAATTAGAAGAAATTCTATGCTCCATCCATCCAATAATCAAAATTCATGCAAGGACACAACCTGCATAATTTACATGACTGCAATTTGAACAAAAATAGAGCAATCAAGTAGGTTAAACATCAGCAATGGCTTATCATGAATTTTGATTATTACGTCAACTCATCATAACAGAAATAAACAGGCAAAGATCAAAGAATTGAGATCTAAAAATTACCTGGAGGAGCAATGGCTTGATTGCTTCGCTTGAACAGTGCCTGGACTTCACGTCTGCATCGCCTGCCCTCAGACACTGACCACGGCTCTGTCGATGGACGGCCATGGTGTAGGTTGCTGCTCTCGCGTTCTTCCCAGGGGCCCAGGACAAGGATGTGTCACCGGCTGGCCAACGTCCGTCGGGGTCCTTTGGGGCAGCGAGGAACCAAAGAAATTCTGATTTTGGGGCAGTTTACAGGATGCGAGGAACCAAAGAAATTCATTGATTAACTTTGGGAATTGGGGCGCCTCTTAGGAATTTGGGGGCAATTAATTGGGAAAGAAGACGGAGAACGGAAACGAACGAGGGCGTGATTCAAGGAGCCAGCGAAGGAATCAGTTCGTGCGTGATTTTTTTCCTTGGTAATGGGCCAGACCTGTTTCTCTTGTGTAGTAGTCTATTTTTCTAGAGATATATGGGCCCCTGCTGAGGCTGGGCCCTAGGCCGTCGCACTCCTCGCCATGGCCCAGGGCCGGCCCTGCACAGGAATATAGGTCCCTTTCCGTGTGATTTTTTTCCAAGCCAAACAGGACCCTCTCATGAGCTTGTCTATGATTTTAACCAGTTAGTCTTGTGCTTGAATCATTGTTATTTTCCGAGTCTGATGTCTTAATCCACATCTGTTTATATATCTTAATCGTTCCAGAGTTAATTAGTGTTAAGGGGAAGAACTATGTACAGTATTTTTTTTTCTTATACCGTAGCAAATAGTATGTACGTTTTCTTTTCTGAAAAGACGTCTAAAATTGGAGCCTGAATAGCTGATTTAATTATTCTCTGAAATTTAAAACAATTGCAGAACCGAAAACTCTCTTGGTTCCTTTTTATCTGTCTAAAGGGTTATAACTATTTTTAGTGCTAAATGGCTTATATTTTGTGTGCTTTGTAATTGCAGGAATTTTGGCTAGAGAAGAGCAAAGGTAGGGTTTGTATGGCGCTATCCTCCAAAGCTCTGGTCATAACTGGCATCGATGACAGGAGATATTGGACACACATGCCGACCACTGAATCAAGGTAAAAATTCCATCTCGCACCTACTACTACTCCGACCACAGTATTTTTTTTCAGTTTGTGTGAGAAAGATGTGATGTTTGAGTTGCAACTTGCAATTAAATGCCGAAACAACATACTTATTGGCGAGAAATTTTTTTTTTGAAACGAAAGGGGTTGCCCCCCTGCCCCAACTTTTTATTGAAAAAGCAAATGCAACCAAAGCACACTGTTAACAGCTCTCGGCTCCAGCCAGAAGTAGCCGCAGCAGAATTATTACAGACGATGCAACTAAAAGTCTGAACACCCACAAGACTGAGCTGTTCGTTGTTTGTGGTAGAAGATGGGAAATAGCACACGTCTACTTTTGCATGCTTCTTCCCCTGAGCACAAGAGGCATTTGAGAATTATGCTCCTCTACATTTAATACATGAAAAATTTGTCCGTTGTTCAGAACATAAACACTATTATAGGAGTAGATGATTAGTTTTATATAAGCTCACTCGCTTGCTGCTCTGGCAGACGCATAAATTCAACATAGAGGAGTGATGACTGCTTTTATCTTATCAGCGCTATTCGCTATCAAAAAGCTAATGTAGACGCAGTCCTTCCAAATGATGGCAGTAGATGTATGTACCTACTCTGTGCCAGTGGAAGATAGTATCAGACTGTGATACCTCGAGCAAATGTTTACATCTGTGCAGTATCTTTCAATGTAATTATATCCTAACACAAATAGAATGCATGATGCCGTGTTCCTGGAATTGTTATCTGACCTATGCATACGCAATATGCTCATGCAGGTTCCAGTCCGTGGCATACCTTCAGCAAATCTGGTGGTTTGAAGTGGTTGGGGAGCTCGATTTCTGCTTCCCCGTGGGAACCTACAGTTTATACTTCAGGGTTCATCTTGGGAAGTTCAGCAAGCGGTTTGGACGCCGTGTGTGCAGCACCGAGAACGTCCACGGCTGGAACAAGAAGCCGGTGCGCTTCCAGCTCTCCACCTCGGACGGCCAGAATGCATTATCTCAATGCTACCTGGATGAGCCCGGGAGCTGGGTTCTGTACCATGCAGGCGATTTTGTTTCCACGAATCCTGGCCAGGCACTGAAGCTGAAGTTCTCGATGGCGCAGATCGACTGCACGCACACGAAAGGCGGCCTGTGCGTCGACTCGGTGCTTGTGTATCCCAAGGGCTTTCAGCAAGAGAAGGTGGTGACCGGCAAGATCTCGGAGATGCGATCGTCGTCGTAGTTGTAGTGGTGGTGCTTGCACTGCTAGAGTTGTAGAGGAACGCAGCTTGCAGCCCAATCCTATTATCAAGTTGGGCTCTGGTATGCAACGGATGAAACGTCTGTGTAAAGAACTGTAGTCTCAGGGTCTGTGTGGTCAGCTACGTCCGAGAGTGGTTTGTGTGTCGTCCAGTCTTCCCATGGGTAATTTTTTTTCTCTCCCTGGTGCTAAATGAGACTTTGATGCTGCGGATGAAACCGGTTGTGCTGAAATGAGATCAGAGGTTTTGTTTCCATTTTCCTAGTTTGTGTTACTTGTCAGAGACTTCTGTTTTCTTGCTCTGCTGTTATCCTAGTTTCTATGGTACTACTCTCAATTCTGACTTGATTGTGTTGTTAGACTGGCCATGTTTCTTGGTCCAGTCAGATTTCTGAGCATAACTGCAAAATGCTACTGCTGCTAATTGCATGACTGATCTATGTACTAAATGTTGTGCCTGTTCCCATTCTAGGACAGGCAGATTGCAAGTGTACATGATTAAGTAAGTATCGCGTGAAGGCAATAATACATGTCGCTGCCGCTCGATCCGCCTGGAAGGTTTCGCCAACCTTTCCAAATGAATAAATAAGGTCTCGCCAAATTGGCATACATGGATTTGTTCCGGTGTCTACACTATATTCAGCTGTCACATGCCCCTTGCAACTTTAGAGTTGTTGATTCTCTCTCTCTCTCTCTCTCTTCTCTCTTTCATCGTCACCGCCACGATCTTCGTCGTCTGTTCACGGTCATCACCACGACCTTTCATCATTTTTTTTATACATGAAAGCATCTCCTTTTCGCTTTCCCCCCCAAGGAATCAACGGTGGGGGGTCGCTTTCCCGGGTTAAGATACGCAGAGCGGCAGAGGCAACCGGTGGAGACGCTAGTTTTCTATCTATCTCATCTCACGGATGCGATCACACACACACACCAATCTCGCATGGTTGACGTGGCTAATTCTTCTCTCTTTCACCCGATTTCTCCATGGAAACATTTGAATATGGCTTGTGCTTTTCATCAGACCTGTGGCCTGGGAGGATGCTGCGCGCATGCGCCCGAGTTGGCGCCGGTGCCCGGGGAAACCGAAGGGATCCCATGACGCGGCTCTGGGCTGGCGCATCGTCTTTCGGCGTGCCCAAGGTTTTGGTTGGATTCGCTGTGGCGCCCGCCCCATCCATTTTCTATGGCCGACCCGACCCTTTGTGCCGGCACCGGCAAACCATCATGAACCTGGCTTCTGCATTCTCGCTTTGTCGTGTCGCCCCGGCAGTGATGCTTGCGCCCGAGCCGTCCGTTGGACCGACCAACCATCGCTCTGTTGCATGCGCTAGTGGTGCTGGTGCTGGTGCAGGTCAGGAGCTTTTGTGCGAGGGGGAGGCGTGCTCGCCACCAGGAGATCATCGGTTCGTGCGGCGCCCACCGACGTACGCTTTTGACTCCGAACCAACGTCCGCATAGTAGCGATAGGTTGCCAATTTCAGGGTTTAGAATGAATGTACGCTATTCTACTGTCAGAAGTCCAACGCGACGTCAACTGTTTCTTTTTTCTGGTTTTGACAAACCACGGCGCCGCGTCAAAACTGGCATGCCTGGTTTCTGACCGCGATGTACCCACCCGTTTTCCTTGTTGCAGCAACAAGTTTGATCCTTGTTCGCGTGATCCCAATTCTTCTCACGTGTCCATGCATGCCACTTTTTTTTCTATTACTCTCTGTATAGTTATAGTTTTATTTCGAACTTGGACAAATTAGGAGCAAAACACTATTGATTCCATGCGCATGCCTTGTTTGAACGTAGAAACTATCACGGGGGGAAATATCCTGTGCTACCGAAGTTTTTTTGTCCCTTAATTAAGAAGAAGAGACCGCATGGGACATGTGGTTAGCAAAATCAAAAAAAAATTAATTAAGAAGAAGAAGAATATTTCGCAAAAATAAAGAGAAGAAGAATAGAGTTTACACGAGTTACAACACTCCCCAAGAATACAAAACGGATTACTCTCCCGGTATGATAGATTTCAACTTTTTTGCGCCCGCGGTTATCCAGTGTGCCATCTCCCCTTTGATGGTGCTCAAAGAACTGAGGGCGGTGCACTTTTGCCGCGAAACACACAAGCGTTTCTCTCAATCCAAACAACCCAACAGGTTAACATTACAAGCGAAGCCATGCCACTCCTATTGAGGATGTTGTACTCCGCAAGAATAATCCACCAATCCTTGGTGGAGCTAAGTAGAGGCCAAGACAATGTATCGATGCTGTCCAGCTGAAGCCATGCTTTGAGCATTTCCTAGAGTCTAGATGTGAACTGGCACTTGAATAGTAGATGATCGACAATTTCATTCTCACGCTTGCAGAGAGGGCAAAGTCTATAGTTTGGCCAACCTCTCTTGGCCAATCTATCCGCGGTCCAAATCCGGTTTTGCATGGCTAGCTACGTAAAGAATTTCACTTTTAGCAGTGACCAAGCTTTCCAAATCATGTGCTCCATCGGAGAGCGAATCATGGCAAGGAATTGTGCCTTGTAGGCAGACTCCACGGAATAGAGACCATTCTCCGTGTGTTTACACACGATGCCGTGTACCATGTCCCCATGGAGCTGGAAGTCGCGGATGCTGACTCAGAGCTGGACGAATTGGTGGAAATGCGTAAGCGAGGAGGCAACAGTTCTCTTGATTTTGGATACCCAAGCATAATCTTTTAGGGCTCCCCTTATCTTCTCATTTTTCCTTGCGGATGCCTCATAGATGAGGGGCACGATGTCCTTGGGCTTTTGGTCATGCACACAAGGGGCGTCCCAGAAAGACGCATGTGCACTATCTCCCACTATGATGGTTGTGAAGGAATAGGAAAAATCATACTCTTTCTCGTCACAAGGGTTCCCCAACTCAACCCACATCTTTGCATGCTCCTTCCATTCAAACCAGAGCCATCTTAGTCTCACTGCCCATGCAAATTTCTTCGTGTTAAGCACATCGAGACCTCCATACACAATAGGTTAGCCCGCAATGCCATTCAGCATGATGCGGGAAGAGAGGTGCAAAGCAACACAACAAGCCAGTCACGGGAAATGGTAGGGAAGCCCCTCCACTCGATAAGGTCAAGCGGGTATTCCCATCTTACCGAGTCAAAAGCCTTCCAAATGTCAAGTTTGAACATCAGCGTGGGTCTCTTTGATTTATGCAACTAGCATGCAAGATTTCTGACATACATGAAGTTGTCGTGAATGCTTCTTGTCTTGATAAATGCACTTTGGCATGCGAAACAAGTGTGTGCATGTAGCCGACAATTCTTGAGGCGAGGACTTTCACAATAATTGTGGCCACCACATGGATAAGGCTGATGGGGCGATAGTCACCGATTTCCTCAGCCTCCCCCTTCTTCAGAAGAAGAACAACATTCACAGAGTTTAGCCAGTGAAGGTGTGCAGTGCACAGACTTCCAAAGGAGGGGATTACCTTCATGATGTCCCAACACTTTTTGAAGAAGAGACCTCTGAACCCATCCGGTCCCGACGCCTTGTCTCTTGGCATTTGGTTAATGGCCTCCCTAACCTCCTGCTCAGAGATGGGCTCCCCAGGAGATGTCAAGTCTTGGGGCTCCATGTTGAGCTTTGCTCACTTGAAGTCATCGATCGTAGTCCCACGTTTGCCCATAATATGAGAGAAATGAGAATGGATGATGCTCTCCTTGTGGTCATGCTCAGTGACCCATCCATGGTTGTGCTTGATCCGATAGATGTGGTTTTTTCTATGCCTTGCATTAACCCAGCGGTGGAAGAACTTGGTATTGTCATCACCCGACTTGAGGTTGGCCAATCTCGCACATTGTTTCTTACGCGCACGCTAGAGCAGAGCTAAGCAAAAGATCATCTTCTTTAGCCTAGAGCAGAGGTCAATTTCAGCAGGTGAAAGGCTTCGATGCTCCTAAGCGATGTCCAGGTGAAGGATGGTCCATAGAGCGGCATGGTGTTGGATTTTGGCGTTGGAGAATAGTCTCCGAGTCCACTCGTTAATATAACTGATGACCCACAAGTATAGGGGATCTATCGCAGTCCTTTCGATAAGTAAGAGTGTCGAACCCAACGAGGAGTAGAAGGAAATGACAAGCGGTGTTGAGTAAGGTATTCTCTGCAAGCACTGAAATTATCGGTAATAGATAGTTTTGTGATAAGGTAATTTGTAACGGGTAACAAGTAATAAAAGTAAATAAGGTGCAGCAAGATGGCCCAATCCTTTTTGTAGCAAAGGACAAGTCTGGACAAACTCTTATATAAAGGAAAACGCTCCCGAGGACACATGGGAATTATCGTCAAGCTAGTTTTCATCATGCTCATATGATTCATGTTTGTTACTTTGATAATTTGATATGTGGGTGGACCGGTGCTTGGGTACTGCCCTTACTTGGAAAAACATCCCACTTATGATTAACCCCTCTTGCAAGCATCCACAACTACAAAAGAAGTATTAAGGTAAACCTAACCATAGCATGAAACATGTGGATCCAAATCAGCCCCTTATGAAGCAACACATAAACTAGGGTTTAAGCTTCTGTCACTCTAGCAACCCATCATCTACTTATTACTTCCCAATGCCTTCCCCTAGGCCCAAATAATGGTGATGTGTCATGTAGTCGACATTCACATGACACCACTAAAGGAGAGACAACATACATCTCATCAAAATATCGAACGAATACCAATTTCACATGACTACTTATAGCAAGACTTCCCCCATGTCCTCAGGAACAAACGTGACTACTCACAAATCATATGCATGTTCATAATCAGAGGGGTAATAATAGGCATAAAAGATCTGAACATATGATCTTCCACCAAATAAACCAACTAGCATCAACTACAAGGAGTAATCAACACTACTAGCAACCCACATGTACCAATCTGAGGTTTTGAGACAAATATTGGATAGAAGAGATGAGCTAGGGTTTGAGATGAGATGGTGCTAGTGTAGATGTTGATGGAGATT